TTTCCCTCCAGCGGGCGATCTCCCTCTTCATCGCAATGCGCCTCTTGCACCCACACAAGAGCTTGCCTACAGGAAGAAATGCATTCAACTAAAGCGACGTCTCGCTGAGATCGAGTCCAACAACGATGCTACCCGCAAGAGAATCATTCAGGAAACGGAACACGTCCAGAAGATGCGCCTGTTGCGTGCGATCCTTCTCAATCACCTGCAGGAAATTATGACTGCTCCAGCTAAAAAATTGACACCCGAACAACTGGACAAGATTGGAGTCCTGGCAAACGGCGGCGGGAACCTGGCAGAGTTGGCTGGCAGCGGCGTGGTCCCCGAGTTACAACAGAGCAGACCTGAAGGGGAAGGGTTACTGGACGACAGCTCCGAAGCGAGCGATGAAGATGAACCCGAGGTTAGGAAGCCCTTTGCTCCCCATAGCAGACGCTTACCCGACACAGCCCGTCGAGCGACCTGAGCGTCGAAAAAGAACCATCATCCCAAGGGCGTCAAATATGTACCAACACAGCACGTTACCCAACCTTGCTCCCGCAAACTCTTTCTCTCCAGCCCCTCCTCACGATCCAGCGACGCTCACCTCCTCTTTCCGTCTCAATTCTTCTACTCCACAAGCACCCGCGAATCCTGGAACACAACAGCAATTTCCGGACACTACATATCCACAATCCTCTCCTATGCCAGTCAATCAGCACTTAGGTGTGGCGTACCAGTCGCCGAGTCAGCCACGAGCACCAAGCATAACCTCTGCTCATGATGCTGGCGCGAATGGCCTTGCCCGTGCTTCAGGTGCACACGTACGGCCAGAACGACCAGAAGCACCTTACGTACAATTTACAATGCACATGAGACCGCAGCTAGAAGCTGACGACTACCCTCCTGATCAAATCCCTGCTCGCATTCAAGCTGAGTGGGATGGTCTTAGCGCCGATAACAGGAAGCTATGGGACGACAGATATGAAGACCAGATGAAAGAATATACGGCCGCGATGGATGCTTGGAAGCGTGCTACTAGGCGAGAACCCTCAAGTACTGGATTCTCCTCCATCAACTCATAGAGTGGGCCGAACAGAACAACCAGTCGCAAAGATCAAAAGGTTCCGTGGCACTCGGCCCTTCGAATGCGTCTGTCCCCTGGAAATCACTGGCCGTTGTGATGCGCCGATATTCCTCCTCCAAATCTGAAGCAGAGGCAGAAGTGTCTAACTTCTGCGTTCAGTCGTCAACCCCGATACAGGTCGAGTCGCAACAAGCGCAGGATATTTACAAACAACCGGCCGATCCTGGTGCAGGCGGATATCCTGCGCTCAAACGTCTAACCGCATGCACATCAGATATCAAGTTTTGCGCTTACAAACTTCGCAATCGATGCTAGGACTTTCCACCGGCCATTGGGGTCACTTTGGAGAGAGTGCAGGTGGTCTAGATTTCGAAACACTACAGGCCATAGGCAAGACCATCGCACCATTACCTTGATGGCTCTATTCTTCCGAGTTTCATGGACGTGGATCTTCCTGTTCGTTCAATTGGCCCAGTCATCGATGTGTTTCCCCCTGTAACCGTCAGTACAGACCAGGGTTCTCCAAAAGTCCGTGATTGGGCGAACTATTTTCTCGACAACGGGCTATATGTCCACGGGTGCTTACACATGCCCGGCTCTGTATTCGGCACTGAGCGCTCATCAAAATTGCTGGAGAGGTCTGCCTCCGTTATCCACGAAAGTAAGCTGGACCGTTCCGGGAGCATTGATTTCGATGATCAGCAAGAGCCTAATGCTGGGAAGAGGCTTGAAAAAGAGCTTCAAGAATAAGGGAAAACAAGCGGTTGCTCCGGTTTAGCAATAGATTCTAACCTTAGCGCGTGTTTTATGACCTACGGCTCTAGTGGAAGGGTCATCTCAAAAGCTGGAGCTATCGTCCACGTTAAGCATTAGGTGGTATCGTTTGCATGCCTTGATGCTTCTGCTCAGCAGCAAATGCGGCGAGATGCATTTCCCAACTGGGCGCAGCAGCTGGAAGACTACACGACGTGGATGGAGGCATCAGGAATAAATAAACAAAATATATCATGAGTGATCTCGGAAATGATATCACCCCGTGAGACGGGCGAACTGCAATTTGCACCATTCAGGGTTTGAACCCTGGTCATTTTGTTTTCTTGTCCCTACAATTTGAGCATGAATTGAAGCACCATCTGGACACTCGTACTCAATTCGTTCCACGAAACGAAGTGCCCATCGGCCGCTTTCCGTGCATATAGAGAACAGCGATTTAGAGATAGCCTCTTCTTTTCTCGTCGTGTCGGCAAGTGGGTGTTCTGTCCCCATTCTGCACTGAGGCACCCGCCTGATGGCCGGCCTATGTGGACATTGTAGGGTACAGGTAGGCTCTCCTTAATCGCACTCAACAACGTTCGCATCACTGGCAGCTGTGGAATTCCCTCTTTAGTGTCGGTTGTCATCGCTCTGTCGCCTTGAGACATGGACGCATGCCATGACTTTCGCCCCGTCAGCATATCACACGCACTATTTTTTGGTTTCCTATTTTCTCGATGCTCGTTCATGACATGGATTGAATTCCCTTTCTTCCTCTTTTCATCATTTCAGCTCGAAGACAGTTCGTGCCCTATCTCACCGCCCGCCACTTTTCTTTCAATCCTCGTCCCAATTCGGGTTCGGCCCAGGTGGTTTCGGCCCACCAGCTTGCCTCGCGACGATGATCTGATCTACGCTCAGCACCGTCCTTGCCGCCTCCGTGGCCAACCGTATCGCCCAGGACTTGGTCACCATCAAGTCCAAGATGCCTTCTTCCAGGGCATCCAGCACGCCGGACGCGTCGGCGACTTCCAGGTCAATGCCGGTCGTCCAGTAGGGTTCTTCCGATTCGTCAGATTCTCCGGATTCGTCATCTTCGTCCTCGTCCTCACCCTCGTCTTCATCATCGTCGCTTTCGTCTTGTTCGTCTTTTGTTTGATTACGGCCCTTCATCTCGTCACTGGAAGCTACTCGGCGTTGGTGCGCCGTGTACAGCCTTGCCACCACTTCCGTAGCATCTGATCCGGCACTCTCTGCCAACGTTCTCGGGATCACTTCGAATGCCTCCGCATATTTCCTAATAGCGTACTGCGGCAAGCCTGGCGTTTTATCAGCGAAGTGGCTGATTCTCTCCACAAGTTGCATTTCCGTTGCGCCTGCGCCTGGAACTAGTCGAGGGTCCTTTGTTACTGCTTTTATGACGTTGACGCCGTCGTCAATCGCGCGCTCCACGTCATCGAGGTGGTTCTGGGTTGCACCTCTCAGCACAATGGTCGCCGTGCGTGTTGTTGCGGTGTCAGACTCCTGGCGGAAGACAGTCACTCTGTCCCCACCAATCTCGGTGGTTTCTACAACATCGATACTGCCCATCTCATCAGGCATGGGTGGTCCCAAGCGGGCCAGAGGAGTGGCGTTGCACACGCTGCACAGACGCCGGAGTTCGAATTTCGACATAATTTTGACCACAAGGATGCCCATTCGGTTGAGGTAGTGCATGGCTAGCTCTCCCACGGTCGCGCCAGCAACACACACGCGGACACCCGTATCGTAGATTTCTCGGATGGCATTTTCGAGCTGTGCTTCCTCGCCTTTGGAGAAGGCCATCATTTCCTTTGCATTTTTCAGTAGAACAGTTCCCTTTGTTTCAGTTTGGGAAATATCAATCGGGCATGAGAACACTGCAACTTTCGCTTTCTTCGCCCGTTTCACCAGCCCCTCAGGCTCGCGGCCGAAGACCATGCCCTTGACAACCTGAGAGGACGAGAGGTCCCCGCCCATGATTTTCACCACGCGGATATTGTCAACGTTGAAGTTTGCGGGATTTTTGGGTAGGACTACCAGCACGGCCTCAGCGATTAACTGCGAAATGAGGTCTTCGGACCCGGATTGCTTCGAGGCAACGACAGTGCGGAGGGCTTTGCAAAGTTCGTCGACAGAGCGGACATCGGAGACGGTATCGACTTCTAAATCTATTGACTGCATGTCAGTGGCGCCCTCTTTCAGACTGTAGCGGATAGCGCCCGTTTACCTTCTAGGCATTTCAGTGCGTAGGCCTGTGCCTTCTCATATCCTGACACGATATCACTCGTCTTAAGACCCATCCGTATTAACTCCTCAGCCTTCTTAAGCAGCTCTCCTGCCAGGATTATGACCATGTTTGTTCCATCTCCCATCTCCGCCTCTTGCTGTTGACTGGCCATGACCAGTAGCTTTGCGGCGGGGTGGACCACATCCAGTTCGCGAAGGATTGTAGCGGCATCTGAAGTTAGTATCATCTTGGACAGATGATTTATGACAATTTTGTTGCGGCCATATGGGCCCAGTGAAGTTTGAACGGTCTGGGCAATTGTTCTGCATGCATCGATCTATACCCAAGAGTCAGAAAAAGAGTGGTCTGAGGGGTGGGAGCCGGCATACGTTTCGAATAACGGCACCATCTTCGGCGTCATAGCTGCTGTAGCCAGGCTTGAATAGCCCGGACTGGGAGGCCTGGGGTATCGCTAAAGACATCGCGGTGATCGGGAGGTGGAAAGCCGAGAGGGTGTTGAGTAGACAGGGTGAAAGACGAAAATACGATTGCGGCGTTACGAAAATTAAACATTGGCGAGGCTGATGTCCAGCCTTGCCAAGCCGATCGCGTACTCCGTCTTCGACTGAAAGCCCGCTGCGGACTCGAACCGGCCAGAGTTGACGTCTCTGATTGACTGCGGTTGTTCTGTCAGACCATGAATACTCATAGAACCGTGGAAGAGCCTGCGAAACCTTTCAATGATGCCGGGACCACGGTCCGACTCCGACGATAGCAATGGATCTGAACTTGACCTGATTACCGCGGAGGAGGCGGGTGACATCTCTTCAAGGTAGGGTTCGCGATTTTAACGGATGACTTTGCTAATGCCTTGGTAGCAGGCCACTCAGTCTGCTAGGTCCTAGAAGTTCGGGCCGCACTGTAAGCCCTCCCATGGCATCCTCTGTGCAATTGAACAAGACACCCTCGACCGTGCTGTCCGCACGGGCTCAGGCGAACGGCGGGCCGGGCGAGACGAGTGCTACCATTGAAGAGGGTGATTCTCACGGTCCTGAACACATCGGCCACAAGGATGACGGCCCACTTGATTGGTATGTCGAGGGGCCAGGCAGGCGAGTGGGCTACGACGACCTGACTGCAATTGACTGGATTTATGAGTATACGAAAGAGCGGCAACGGTTGCGAAAGATTCTAGCGCACCATACGGGTCTCGTTGGAAATCTGAGGCAATTGCTGGACGCCAGCCATGTTTGGTTCGTACTCGTGGCCAGTGGAATCTCCGTGGGATGCGTCGCAGCCTTCATCAACATCACTTCAGACTGGCTGGGTGATATCAAGACAGGCTATTGCAAGAAGGGAGTTGGTGGAGGAGACTTCTATTTGAACAAGCAGTTCTGCTGTTGGGGTCACGATGAATTTGCTCAATGTCAAGACTGGACTCCGTGGCCTGCGGCGCTAGGTATCAGAGCCAGGGCTGGCCAGTTCGTGATGGGCTACATTTTCTTCATTGTCTTTTCTGTCTTGTTCGCGGTTTCAGCGGCAATCCTCGTTAAGCATTACTCAATATATGCTCAACACAGCGGTATAGCGGAAATCAAGACGGTACTGGGAGGTTTTGTCATCAGAAAGTTCCTCGGTACATGGACTCTAGTCACAAAGTCCTTTGGTTTGGTGAGTTCGTTTATTGATATTTCTGGAGATGAACTGACTTCGCCAGATACTCGCCGTCTCCTCGGGTATGTGGCTTGGTAAGGAAGGTCCGTTTGTCCATCTTGCTTGCTGCTGCGCCAATATCATCATGAAGCCATTCGAGTCATTGAGTCAGAACGAAGCTCGAAAACGAGAAATCCTCTCTGCTGCAGCTGCGTCTGGTATTTCAGTTGCCTTTGGTGCACCTATCGGTGGTGTCCTATTCTCCCTTGAGCAGCTGTCCTATTACTTCCCCGACAAGACTATGTGGCAGTCATTTGTGTGTGCGATGGTGGCAGCAGTGACGCTCCAGGCCTTGAATCCTTTTCATACCGGAAAACTCGTCCTCTATCAAGTCACCTACACGACTGGGTGGTACAGCTTTGAACTTGCACCATTTATTCTCCTCGGCATTATCGGGGGAATATATGGCGGGCTGTTCATTAAATTGAACATGTTAGTGGCACGGCTACGTAAGTCCGCAAGCTATCCGTTTCGCAACAGGCCACTGCTGGAAATACTGGTTGTTTCCGCGATCTCCGCAGTCGTCAACTATCCGAACCTCTTCATGCGAGCCCAGCTCTCTGAACTGGTATATTATCTGTTTGCAGAATGCGCTACTATAGGGAACAATGACATTTTTGGTCTCTGTCGCGCAACAACCGCGGGAGCTCTGTCAATGGCATGGCTCTTGGTCGCAGCTTCATTACTGGGCTTATTGCTTGCGAGCATTACGTTCGGCCTACGGATTCCGGCAGGCATCATACTCCCTTCTCTGGCAATTGGCGCCCTCTACGGAAGAACACTTGGGGTGGTTGTTCAGCTGATACAAAAACACTTCTCAACGTCTTTGTTGTTTGCTGCCTGCACCACTGATGTTCCCTGTGTTATTCCAGGCACATACGCGATCGTTGGCGCTGCTTCAGCCTTGGCTGGGGTCACGAGGATGACCGTGTCGATTGTGGTTATCATGTTTGAACTAACAGGTGCCCTCACTTACGTCTTGCCAATCATGATTGCGGTCATGCTTGCAAAATGGATTGGAGATGTCTTCTCTACGCGAGGCATCTATGAGTCTTGGATTCAATTCAACGAATATCCATATCTCGAAAACAAGGACGACGCAGTCATGCCTCACGTCCTCGTCTCCAGTCTCATGACGAGAGTGGAAGAAATGAAGTGCTTGGATGCCAATAAGCCTCATACCGTTGAGAACCTACAAAATATGCTGCGGACAACATCTTATCGCGGTTTCCCGGTGGTGGCGTTCAGAAAAGCAGGAGCGGATGTCGCTGAAACAGTTTCAAACCGGCAGTACCCGCGCGAGAACACTCTTCTAGGATACATTTCTCGGGTTGAACTGGCGTTCGCGCTGGAGCGAATGACACGTCCTAGTGGGCACAGACCCAGCCCTGAAGCTGAAACAGTTGTTGATTCCCAAACCCCATGTTATTTCACCTATCATCCCGACATCGCCACCGGATGTGGAATAGACCTACGACCTTGGATGGACCAGACACCAATCACGCTAAACGCGAACAGCTCACTTCAACTGGCAGTACATATGTTCCAGAAACTTGGGCTTCGATACCTTCTTTTCATTGATCGTGGCGCTTTCAGAGGCATTCTCACCAAAAAAGACGTTTGGTGGATTTTGTCCGCATCGGCAGATGGACCTAGGGCTGAAGGATTTGTTGCCGATGCGGAAACTCGTCGTGAGACCGCTTTGGAGGAGGACGAGAGCCTCGAGGAAGCGAGAGGCCTTCTTCAGCCTGAATTAGGGGAACCAGCTCATCAAAAAATGCCGAGTTAATCAAACATGCATTTGCCGGAGTCTGGACCCTCCACTTCTACCTTTCTAGGGATATACCCATTGAATTGAACAATTGACCTAAATTCGAGGCTCGGACGCCTGACAAAATAAAATGCCGGGGACTACGGAGTACTCGTGTGGCAGAGGCTCTAGTGAACGCGGGACCCTCGCTGGATATTGCTCGCGGCTTTGAGCTACGAACCCAAAAAGGGGTCATGGTGTTTCAGGAGTCACAGTAGGCAGGGTATCTGGCATTGCGATGGGGCCGCCGTGCAGGTTTTTATTTGCACAATCTCCTGAAACAGTCAGAAGCGACCTCTCTTGTACCTCGTACGCACAAAGACACCAGTTTGGGCTACTCGTCAGTAACCACAGTCCTCCGCCCACCGCAGAGTACCCGGGGGGAAGGGCAGGAGCACAGCAGATCATCCGCTCCCTAGAAAGTCTGGAATATCGCTTAGAAAGACATTCGCACACGCTACATATGGCGTACCTCTAGCAACTCCTCTAGATCAAGCTTTGGCGAGGTTTAGGGCTCTGACAGCGGAACTACCACGAGGCGAAGACGCAATATATGGTCGTCTAAGGTCTTCGGCCGCAGCAAAAAGGGGCTGTTCATAATTGGCCATTTGGCAGAACTGGGGCCTCCCTTGCCCACGGGAAAAACAGGGTAGGCAAGAGAAAATGGGGATGACTATGCGAGTGACTGGCCGAGCCTCGCGCTCTATCAGGCTCCTCCTGACGATCCTTTTCGCGCAACCGAAATGATCAGCAACAACGTGTCAATTTACGGGGCCTTCGTGAAGCGAGGCATACCAGTTTGGCAGTTCAACGCGCTCTACAGCGATAACGACAACCTAATGCGCAAGCAGTAAACTTCTCACTCCGTATGACCAACAGCATAGCAAGACTACTAAAGTTTGCAATGATAACTTAGCTTGGTCTGGCCCCGAATTCGGGCCTTCGAAATCGGGTACGGTCCAGTCGAGGGAGCTTTCGGGTCGACTAGAAGGACGGTGAAGATTTTGAATCGTTGCGAGGCGTCTACCAAAACAGGCTATGATCGTCGTACGCCACGAGGTGCTAAGCGAACTTCCACTTGTCCACTGGTGGAAAAGAACATGGGACGGGGAACAACTGAACCTCGATGGTGCCAAAAGAAACTCCGTCGGGTCGTACTTCCGGCAACCGTTCACCAACAACTAAAGAGAACGGACTCATTGCCACTGAAGCTGTACCAGTCTCGCCTCCCGCGCAGTCGCCGTGATTCTCACAATCGTAAGGATGACAGAGACAATAACTCGTTTTCCAGTAAAGCGAAAGGTCCATACCGAGCCGCAAGAATTTCGACGTGATGCAGCGGAACTTGTCAGTTGTGTTGCCGTCGCCTCTCCCATTGCAAGATGGCCGAAGGCTCTCCATAGTCACAGTGCTTACCTTTGGCCTCTTCTCTCGTCGAGAACGAGTAAAGCTTTCTGACTCGCAGACCTGACATAAACAAACTTAAATGGCTTCAGGGGCACTTCATGACCTCGCAGCCCCCGAGGTACAGCAGGAATACGAGCTTGCCACCGAATCAACATTCTACTTTCTACCATCCACTGCGGTGACGATGACCCAGTTCCAGTTTTCATGCTTCTGATCTTGGGAAAAGAAGTGTACCTTCGGACCAATCAAAGTTGAAGCAGCTTTGTCCCCCTAGAATGGAAATCGCCGTTTCTTGTTACATCAATTTAGTGGGAGCTATCTGTTCCTGCTGATGTCGATCTCTGCAAATTGACGTACAACAGTTCAGAAGGTGAAAGCAATCCGGCGACCGTGGTATAATCTATTGGTGCACAGAGGGAAACTTTCATTCCAAAAGCTCCACAGCTTTCCACTGCCGCACAATGCCGCAGCTACACAGGGTGTTGTTTTTTTTTGTTTTTTTTTTTTTGCTGTTTTAGTACTTAGAGGATCGATGGCCAGGTCAATGAGGACAGGAGAGTCCTAGCTATTGGTGCCGTAGCTGCGGACCTGAGTGGAAGTATAATGCCCACTTTCCTGCAGGACGAATGGGGGTTCCTTTGGAGCCGAAGCATTCCTTCTCGAGCCACGAGGAGAGCATAAGCAAGCGATATGGCTCTGCGAATCCTGCAATCGCTTGTCTCGACTCGCTCTGCACCGATTATGGATACACTCTGCGCCCAGAGTACGAGGTAGGGGGGTGCAAGGCTGCCCAGCATCCGTCACGAGGACCTCAGCAACGGCTTGTGCCAGCATCGGTGACTTGCAACAACGGATAGGCAGGAAATGCCCAAACGGAAGTGACTATGCGATTTCTTTGCACGGGAATGTTGGATTGATAAAGAAACCCAGTGTTAGGGTGACTGCAGCCGATACAGCCAGCAGCATATCCGAAATGTGGGAGCTTAAAATACTGCTAATCCTTGCCGCGAACGAACCCAAACTAACGTCTGAACCTCTATGTCTCTTGGGGTGATTCGAAGCGTAACCTGTCTAGCAATCAACTTTCTGATAGGAGTCCCAACACCACAATCCCACCCTCACCTCTCAGGCATGCGAGCATCCGAAATGGTTGTTGTGGAAGCTGTCGATACCTGGCGATCAGAGGATCTGCACTGCACAGGGCATGTACTCTGTGCTGAGAACAACTTTCTCCGAAGTCATGCCACCTGTCTCGCTTAAACGCACAGACTGAGAGTTGTACGTAGTTGATATGTGCACTCTGAAACGAACTGCTCAGGTACTCTGCTTCTAGGCATCTAAAAATGCCGGCAGTTTGAGGGGGATCAAACGCTTTGCCCTAGTCTCTCGCTTGGGCTCTTGGATTGGGGAATCTGATGAAAAGCTATCTTGGATGCTAGCCACTTCCCCGGCCACCATAACCCTGGAATTGTACCCAACACCTGAGAGCCAAACCCAAGGAAGGGAGCCGAATGCGCGGGTGCTCTAACTATACCCTGCTATGGAACTTTCACGAGGATCCTCGTTCTTTACAAGTCATTCCCTTTGCCGGGCGGTACGTAATTTGCTGACAGTGGCGACCATCGCACGCTTCAGGCTGACGGCCTTGCCTACTATGTCCTTGGACTTGTTTGAAAGAAGGCAAGTAAGCACATAACAGTCGACAGACGACGCCAGGCCGCTGAATCCTTCTGCGCCATGAGGACTACCATTGAAGTCCGCATCGGCTGCAAGCGCCACAAGACGAGGGTCCCTAACATGAAGGTAGGTACACAGATAAGTAGGCAAATCAGCCGAGCTCGACCACCATTGGCATGCCTCTAGGAGGCCTGGCACCAGTGATCCATTTCTACTGGACACTACTCCGAGTCTGACTGAATCCGTCATCGGCATGGAAAACAGCCGGATGCTTTGCGAAAAGCTCCCCGGTGCAGGCATGGAAAGGTCGGGTCCATTTACTGACTTACCACGGAATATTATGGTATGGCTCTCTGGACGCCGTGGGGCCAGTATAACGGTTTGTATGCAGTCCCCCGATCAGTGGCACCTTAGGTATAGACATGGTCTACCCTGCTTCGGCTGTGAGGACTGACCTAAGTCCTCCCCACAAATGTCTGCGGTTGAACGTTGAGGACGCAAGCCACACTTCTTGGGCTGCTTGCACCGGTCTCCATCTCTTCACTGTACCCATGGACGATGGGATAATGACACAGATTCAACGAGGTCGTTGGTGTATAATACGATGCAGATTCTCCCCGACATACTATGCAGAATACAGGTCTCAGCTTGCTCCCAGCAAGTTTCTCAGATCTTGTTGGAAACAAAACCAAGCCACCAATCCGGCTTCGTCTCGTCCAGGAATTAAATAACGGATCCAGCAGTTCTCGCCGTTCTCAGGAGGCAAGATTGGAATATCGGCCAAGAGGGCCGTAGATTAGCTTGGAGACTTCGTTTTCCCTGCAGTCGGGCAGAAGTCGAAATATATGAGTATCGCTTAATATTCTGCAAGTCAAGATCTAGTTCTGTCGATCAGCCATTTCAAGAGTAGGTACAGGTATGAGTGCAGGAACGTGGTTTGATATCATATTAGGTTTTCGTCATGACATGGGAAATTTCGATAAAACTGTAAGGGATGCTGCTTGAGGGGACATTTTCATCACCTTGCTCCACCTGCCCAGAAGGCGATTGCTACTGCGGTCCAGCGTGATTGACCGTTGGGCCGCCGGCACAGTGAGTGGTACCTTACATTCGACCAGTCCATTGTTCCTAGCTCCTGTTGGTGATGTTTGTCCGCTGCAAGGTATCCCTTGCTCAGTCACTGGCCCCATTGACAATACCAACGTCGACAAAGGGCCACCATCATTGACATGCTTGTACTGCCTACCTAGGTATGTGTGCTTTGTACCTGGTACAAGGAGAATCCTTGTGGGAACAATTTTACGAAGGTCTCCTTGATCTGTCATGGGGGTGGCCGCTCGCGACGTGAGATCCTGCTGCCGCGGGCACATTGACAGGTGTCACAGCTGTCACAGCTGTCGAAACCGAGGCTACTCAGGCTTGGGTTCTGACGCTCCAGAGTCGAGGGCAGAGCCGGAAAGGTAGCTTGAGACCCCCAGGTAACGTCAACATTTCCTCTTGGTTCTTTACCCTCTAAGGAAGGCCTGGACGCAGATCCCTAACGCAAACAACGCCCTCCCCAAGAAGGCCCTCGAATGAACAGCTGCATTGCCCCGCCAGGGCCCGGACATCATGCAGCATTGGCATCTGTGGCATCTTCCGAAAGGCCTTCTAATAGGCTTCAAAGGGGTAGCCTGGGGGGCAGTTTGGTTTCTGGCTCTAATGCGCCTAATGCTGGTTCCAAGACGCCGGCTTTATGACTTTCCTACAGAGGCATGGTTCCAGGCGCTCGGTGCAACACCATCCCCATCCCGGTGCCTGTATGGAGGTACGGGGCCTGTCCAAGACCTCCAAAGACCTCTCAGCGCCGTCGCTCGACCATGGCCCTTTGAGATTCCACACTGGAGCACGGTTACAACCCCCCCAGGAACTTGTCTTTACATGACATCCGCCGTCCAAATGCAGGGATCCACACTGTGTTGCGCCATGGGATTCCCCCACCGCGCCGGTTCAACTGGTCCAAAGGGATCCTGCCTCATGGTCTCAATGCTAGGGTGCTCGTGGTCACGGTCCAGAATGCCCCCACAGAGCCAGTTTGACTTTGAGAGAAAGAGGCAGCATCCACCAATTTGCACCGGTAAGTCCTACTTCCTCAAGTCCCCCAGCAGCATCCAAGTGCAATACTATACTCTAGCCATTGTAACCCCCCTCTGATTCCATCTCATATCCCCGTCTCCCGAGTGCCCACTGAGGAAACAAAATTGAAAGGCCTCCACGTGGTTACCGATCTCCCCTAGTTCTCTCAGGATCTTCCTTCTTGATGAAATTGGTCTGACGCTAGAGGGAAGAGCACTGCCAGTCGGGCATCTCTTTTCCATGACCAAACACGATCGTTCCTTCTCCAGCGCCGCGGTGTCCAGAGAGACCACCGAAAACCTCTACGAGTTGGGACTTCTCAATCGTCCTCGATCAAGGTCTCGGACAAGCACAAACGATTCGAAACCCGCCCACTGTAAGACCTCTAGCGATATTGCTTCTTTTGCGGCCGAGGCACCCTCTCCAGTGTTGCTTGAAAGACTTTCTGTCTCAGCAAAAACAAAGCGAGGAGAGATAGGACTGACTCATGGTTTTATACTTCCCAGACCAAGTCTCGCGAGCCCGTCACGACGGGTTTCCTCCTCGCGCGGGCTCATCACTGGGCGGCGCTTCCCAACATTCGACCTTCAAGCAATCTAGTATTTCTTCGGGCACCCTGGGAAGGCCGCATACTCCAAACGACCGTCGTCCACGGACCCGGGAACAACGACCTCCTCCTTCGCCCACGACAAGCGTCCCCGGAGCTGGGCATCCCATGGCCGGCATGCTCGATTCCGACCGCTCACGTTCACGACGAGAAAGGACGTTTGTTGGAGGGGAATGCGCTGCTTGTGAAGAGCTTCTTGAGCATACATTGAGAGGGGAGAGGGTTCTACAATTTTCCTGTGGCCACGTCGCTCACGAGGCTTGCTTCTACGAATACATCCGAGACTCGGATTCGCAATATTGCCCAACATGTGACGCTCCATTGAGCCTGGATTCCTTCCGTGGCGGCAGCATTCTGGATCTAAGTAGGTACCACCTGCCTGCCCGCTAGATCGCTCCTAACAAGATCACAGCCAAGTTGAGTAATATGGTTCGAGCCGTCGCCTCTAAAGATGTATCTTCACCAAGGAGCTCGCAAAACACACCCATGCCTTGGGAGGCCGGCAGCAGACAAGTTGTCCAGGATGACGCCTACAGTTCACAGGGAATGAGCGAGAGACTCACCCGCGAGAACACCAACCGAGACAGTCGAGACAGCCAAAGGATGCGCATAGAACGCCTCGGCATCGGTCATGGACTTCACGGATCACAGACTCATTCACGCAATGACAGCGGCAATGCCTCCTCAACCGACTATGCCAATGACCACGCCGGCCATCCACGAAAGCATGATTATGATCTTCACGCCATGGAAACCACTGTACCAGGAACTCAAATCAAAGACATGAAGCAACCTATCCCGGTCCCCATTGTCACGGTTCGCAGTGAGTATCCAACGTTGACTCGATCACGCCAGCAGCAGACCGTCACATGTCTCGTTACCATTGAAGTCCCCGAAGGCAAATTCCATGGACAATTGGATGAAATGCAGAATACGCCCCCGGTTCCTCCCCTCCCCAGCGACTCTGGCGTCGGAATTCCAGCAATGCATAGGCACCAAGACATTCAGCAGGCACCTCTCGCGTACGAACCTTCAGAGATCCTCGACGAAATTACCGAAGAGCTTAGAATGCGTGTGGATAACTGGCACGGGCTTGAATTTCAGAGATTTGGAAAGCTACGTTTGCATAGTGTCATCCGAGTTGGCAAAGACCGGCACTCGTGGCAAGAGCTTGAGTGTTATCTATTCGGGGAGATGCTCATTTGCGTGAAAGAGAAGAAGAACGCCCAGCCTCCATTGATAACCGAATCCGGGCGCAAACTGACGAGGTGTACTTTGAAAGGCTCTATTCTGATCAAGAAACACTTGCGCCAAGTACATGCATCTCCAGACGAGTGCATTTTGACCCTGAATCTGTCAGTCGCAGAGCTGCCAACTTTCCATCTTTTGTTTCAGGACCGAGACAAGCTGGAAATCTGGCAACGAGCCTTGCGAGACCTACACGCCACGGAACCCTCACCGCGTTTCAATCCAGACTACGAACCAGATACCTCGGGCACCGATGAAGAAGAGTATGGCCGTCAGAACAGAAATGTCCGACGTGTACCGTCCGTTGCATCGTCTTACGGCGGCCCAAGGTCGGCCACTACAGCAGCCACGGAATATTCTGTGCCAAAGAATGTTGTCGACAGGCGGGTTCCTCCATCGCTCCATGTACCGATCGACATTGTTGTCGTCATTCCAGTATCATCTTCTATGCAAGGTCTGAAGATCACCTTGTTGAGGGATACGCTGCGCTTCCTGGTTCACAATTTGGGCGACCGGGACCGGATGGGTCTCGTTACGTTTGGTTCAAGTGGTGGGGGAGTACCAGTTGTTGGAATGACCACCAAGACTTGGAGTGGATGGAACAAAGTCCTTAATTCGATCCGTCCCGTCGGACAGAAGAGTTTACGCGCGGACGTGGTTGATGGTGCCAACGTGGCAATGGATCTCTTGATGCAACGCAAAGCAGCAAATCCAATCTCGACTATCCTCTTGATCAGCGATTCCTCGACTTCAGAAATGGAAGGCGTGGATTTCGTTGTTCAGAGAGCCGAAGCTGCAAAGTAAGCTTGCCCCCTTATCTCTTGTTTATGTCTCTGCTAACCGCAACAGGGTCGGTATTTACTCGTTTGGTCTCGGACTTACCCATAAACCGGAGAGTATGCTTGAATTGTCGAGCCGCACAAAAGCATCGTATCTTTACGTGAAGGACTGGATGATGCTTCGCGAATGTGCTGGCGGTGTACTAGGCGCCCTTCAATCAATATCTCACCAGAACGTGAAGCTGAAGCTCAAGTTGCCTGAAGGGTCCCCCGCAAAATTTGTTAAGATCAACGGTGCTCTGCAGACGACCAAGAGAGCCACCGGCCGAGACGCTGAAGCGAGCTTGGGAGACTTGCATTTTGGCGACAAACGAGATGTATTGGTGCAGTTGGTGATAGACCCGGATACATCGACCTCAGAGCCTGCTCCACAGGATGCTTGGGAATCTATAGTGTCTGGTCTCGAAGCTCTCGGTGGCTCACTCGATACGGATGACCAGCGGATTCAAAGCGTCGAGGAATTGCCATTGCTCCAGGCCGATCTGTCCTTTGGCGACCTCCATCGAGAAGGATCCATGGTGCAATTACCCCGGCCATCGCTGCTAACCATCACCATGTTACCTTCGAATCGACGTTCTCGCCAGAATGGAAGGCCGCCAACGCCTCCCATCCCTCCCCATCCGTCCATCGTTCAAAGGCGTATGGAGTTGTTGACGTCCGACATGCTGAGCCGCGCCCTCACTCTTGTCCAGCGTGGTCAACATGAGCGTGCGCATCACCTTCTAAACGAAACAAGGACCATTCTCAAAGGATTGGGGAAAGGGGGTCTTCCTCCCCTACCCCCGGCTGCCGCCCATCCGGTCAACAAACGACACAGCCCGCAGTCAAAGGCAGGGAGCCCCAGAGCTGCAACGCCAGACCAGGGCCGCGACCACAGTCCCCATTCAGACACTAGTACACCTATTCCACGCTCCACCAACGTTGACCACACGATCATGAATGCTCTCGACGCCGATATCGAAGCTAGTCTCGAATGGATCAACCACCCTGCCGTCTTCTCACGCGACTCTCGCAAAGCAGTCCTCCAAGCGATAGGGGTGATATCATCCCAACGGGCTTATACCTTCCGAACTGCATCCGAATCTTTATGGGCAGAGCGGGTCACCGGGGTCAAGAGACTCACGGAGCAGTCGAGAGAATGGAGGGAGACAGGCGACGACGCTCTGACTGAAGAGTAATGAGGCCTTATGACATGATTCTATGTACAAATTTCTCCCATATGTGCATGTACATTTTCTTGATTATGTTGCTTGTTCAAGACCAGCGAAGAGAGAGCCCCCTGTTTCAAGAGGATGAGCTTGCTACAGCAGCCCAAAAGTTGAGCGGTTCGATATGTTTTTGGAAAATTATACCCAATGTAACAGAAGCGGCTTGATGACAGCGGTCGAATCGACATTCCATAGATTTACGCCCTGCTTAGTGCATAGTATTGCAGTTGCCAAATCCACTGGCTTTGATATGTTATTCTCGGGGATTTAGAGATAGCAGTGATACCTTCGGCCACCTGCTTCCTGAGATGAACCTCGAGAGAACCCTACGTATGTCAGTTTGTTTTTGATAAACGAGTCTCTCTACACTGATTGGTTGATGCAGGTGTCAGCCTTGTACAGCCTCGCGCCACCTGAAATTTTTCGTCGCCGCTGCCTTGCCAAGAAACATATCTTGAAGTTTCCCTTCCATCAACGATCTTCTGTTATATTTCCCCCTTTCCAATGCTCGAGATCTGAAGCGGGGGAAAGAAGGCTGCGGCATCAGGCTTCGCCATGGAAGACATAGCAGTATACTGCTCATGGGCTGATGCGCAACTCAGTGAAGACCACCCGTTTCTCCGAGTACTTCCAACAGAAATCCGATCAATCATTATCAGGTCAACTGCATCCCAATATCTGGAGACCCTGGCCGATGCTTTTCGAGATCCTCGATGCACAGATGCGCTCTTTCCGCTCTACAAGCCTCTCTTGCCCGAGTTACTCGCCAGGTGGTCAGGTGTTACTCGCACCGCTGATCTCAAGGATGTTATCAACACCATTTCATGTCTGGCTCGGGTGTTGCCACTTGCTACATATCTCCGCCCTCACGTCACGTCGCTTTTTCGGATAGATCACTTGCGACATCGTCTGTTGGATCTAGGAAGATCTTCGCCTGAGGTTCGGGACGACATCGAATATCCACTTCTGCTCGCTCTTTTTCGCCTTCTCTCTTTTGACCGCCGCATGCTCACCAATATCGTTACCCCTGTCTTCTTATCATCTTTTCTACACCATCGCTCTTTGGCAGTCAGGTACTTGGCTATCCAGTGTCTGTGCATGATCCTGCACTTTGCCGATGCTTTCTCAGAGAAAATGGTCAAGACGTATGTAGGCGACGAAGCCGCCTGGGGCCAGTGGGAAGGCCGAAGGATCGACTATCGACTGCTGAAGCTTTGGGAGGAGAGACGCTGGAAAGATCTGCTCGGGACGCTAACGGATGTTGAGAAGTCCTGGCAATCATCACCATCATCGTCTTCAAAAGCGCGCAGCCTGGTCACTGAAAATTTCTCGCCGCGGGTCACCAACATTGGCGGCGTTCTTCACCTGCTATGGAGTGATAACTCACTATGCTCCCCAACTTCCACTTTCGTCCTGACGGCAACGGCGAAGTACAATTTGCGGCAGCTCGGGAAGTGTTTGTTAGACTCGAAGCCTATTCTCATCCTGGGGCGGGCGGGCTCTGGAAAGACCTCCTTAGTTCATGAGGCCGCGAGGCTCCTGAATCAATCGTCATCGATGATTACTTTACACCTCAACGAACAAACTGACGCCAAGAGTCTGCTGGGGATATACACTTCCTCGGCTGACGGCAAGTCATTCACCTGGCAGCCCGGTGTTTTGACCAAGGCCATGCAACAAGGGAGATGGGTTCTCATAGAAGATATTGATCGGGCACCTTCCGAGGTCATGGGAGTGCTGCGCCCGATTCTCGAGAAGGGGGATCTGTTCCTGCCTAGTCGTAACCAAAAAGTACGCCCGAGGCACGGTTTTCGCATATTGGCAACAGTTGAATCTGTTGGACAGATTTCTCACGTTACGAATTCTCGCCATTCGTGGCTACTCAATCCTCGAGTTTGGAGCACTGTCGAAACCATCAACTACCCACCTGCAGAGGTCGAGGCATTGCTTCACTCTCGATATCCTGATGCAGGTATCTTCGTTACCACAATCCTGCGAGTTCACGGCAAACTCCTTCGTCTGTATAAGGAAAATCATGCCCTGAAAAGACTACAGACACGCATGCCCTCCCTGAGAGATCTGCTCAATTTGTTGAGAAGGACAGTTCGCAGATTGGGACGTTATGGGGTGGTTTCAAAGTCGACCGCTCTACCCGAACAGGTAACATTTCACATCTTCAAGGATGCTGTCGACTGCTATGCAGGCTACCTCAACAATGAGGAACTCCATGAATTGTTAGCTGAGAGCATTGCCGCAGAAATGAATATATCCCCCCAGCAAATGCGGTATTGTCTGAACGAAACATTTCCAACGGTCTCCGAGGACAAAGACGTGGTGCAGGTTGGCCGAAGCACTCTTGAAAAGATTCCCATTCGCCGTCGGCAGGCCAACAGAACTCCTTTTGCATTCACCACCTCGGCTGGGAGAACCCTTGACCGTATTGTTGTCTGTGCCGATTGCTCAGAACCTTGTCTTCTGGTTGGTGAAACTGGCGTTGGCAAGACAACTCTTGTACAATACGTTGCGAATCTCTTGGGTCAAACTCTCACCGTGGTCAATCTTTCGCAACAAAGCGAGGCTGGCGACCTTGTTGGGGGTTTGAAGCCGGTAACAGTTCGATCTCTAATCCTTCCCATGATTGAAAAGTTCAACGCCTTGTTTGATGATACCTTCTCTACGAAAAAGAACGAGAAATTCCAAATAGCTCTCGCTAAGGCATTTGCAAAGCAAAACTGGTCGAGACTGATAATCCTGTGGAACCAAGCTACTCAAATGGCAGCAGCCTCCCTCAACCCTGCAGAGACCGTCAACACGGATGGGTCCGTCCACGCAAGCAAGAAGCGCAAGCTGGACACTGCAAAATACAATGTCCTGCGCGCTAGGTGGGCTGAATTTTCTGAAAGTTTGAAGCAGATCCGTACGTTTGTTGATCGCGGCGACAAGACGCACACCTTCACCTTCGTTGAAAGTAGGTTGGTTCAAGCGGTCCGAGAGGGCGGATGGGTGCTCTTCGATGAAATCAACTTGGCGCCCTCAGACACTCTAGATCATATCGTCAGTCTATTACACAATGGTGATGAGGAAAAACCGTCACTACTACTCGCTGAAGCGGGCAACATTGAGACTCTCGTTGCTCATCCCAACTTTCGAGTCTTTGCTGCTATGAATCCGGCAACGGATGCAGGAAAGAAAGACCTTCCACCTGCCTTGCGATCACGATTTACAGAGATATATGTTCCCCCTGGTGACAATAATCTGGAGGACTTGACCAAGATAATTCAGACCTATCTTGGCTCTCTGCTCGATAATGACAAACGAGCCGCCTTGGACCTTGCAAACTCCTATCTCGATTTGAAGAAGCTCAATGAAACGCACAAGCTTACCGATGGGGCAGGTGAAACACCACATTTCAGTATTCGGTCGCTCGTCCGGTGTCTGTTATACACGTCACAATACAGTGCAAGTCACGGCTTAAGACGTGCAATGTATGAAGGGTTTGCAATGAGCTTTTTTACAGTACTGAGCAACGAAGCAGAAAAATTAGCTTTGCCCTCCGTTGAAAAGCATTTGCTCTCAACAGTTAGGAATCGGAAGGCATTCTTCAGTCAACTACCCAAGATCCCACATGATGAGGATTACATTGCCTTCAGACACCACTTTGTTAAGAAAGGTCCCATGACGCCTGACTTCCAATCACACTATATCAGAACGCCATCTGTGGAACGCAATTTGCTCAATTTGGCCCGCGCTGCCTCTATGCGACGCTTTCCAATTCTCTTACAAGGACCGACATCGGCTGGGAAGACCAGCATGGTGGAATATCTCGCAAAATTGTCTGGCAACAAATTTGTCAGGATCAACAACCATGAGCACACGGATCTTCAAGAGTATTTGGGCAGCTATACATCAGATACCGACGGCAAACTAGTATTCCGAGAAGGTGTTTTAGTGGATGCGCTACGTCTTGGCCATTGGATCGTGCTCGACGAATTGAATCTGGCCCCAAGCGACGTGCTCGAAGCCCTGAATCGGTTGCTTGATGATAACAGAGAGCTCCTCATTCCGGAGTCTCAGGAAATGGTCCGACCGCATCCTAACTTCATGCTCTTCGCCACACAGAATCCGGCTGGCCTGTACGGAGGGCGGAAGCGACTTTCTCGGGCATTCAGAAATCGTTTTCTTGAAATCCACTTTGATGACATCCCTGAAGACGAGTTGGAAATAATACTTCGAGAACGGGCTCAGATCGCTCCATCGTTTTGCACCAAAATTGTCGCTGTTTACAAGAAGCTGTCTCTTCTCAGGCAATCCTCTAGATTATTTGAACAGCGTAACAGCTTTGCCACCTTGCGGGATCTGTTTCGATGGGCCTCAAGACCTGTGGATGATTGGCAGCAGTTGGCATATCACGGGTTCATGCTCCTGGCTGAACGAGTAAGAGAACCCGCCGAGCGTGCCGTGGTCAGGAACATTATCGAGGAGACCATCAAAGTTGCTATTGATGAGAAGGTTCTGTATGGGATGTCGAAGATCCCGCATTCTGTTCAGCGGCATGGTTCGATTGTCTGGACTTCGGCCATGAGACGAGTTTTCGTTCTTGTAGCTGAAGCACTGAAGAATAGAGAGCCGGTCCTCTTGGTCGGCGAGACTGGTTGCGGAAAGACCCAAATTTCTCAAGTGATTGCCGCAGCGGCCGGAAAGCCACTCGATATCTACAATGCACATACTAATACCGAAACTGGCGACCTTATTGGCTCTCAGCGACCAATTCGCAATCGATCCGAGCTTGCCAACAACGTACGGGCGAGCTGGCAAGCCCTGGTTCGTTCCAGGCCCGAGGGCATCTTGACCGAAGACCTAGATGTTAGCGAAATTGTGGAAGCATTCAAAAGATTGGATTGCTCCGGCTATGATCCCAACTTTGTCGAGCAAGTCCGATCCAGCATCGGGGCATACGAAGCCCTGTTTGCCTGGAACGATGGCAGCCTCGTCCGAGCCATGAAAAGAGGAGAATATTTCTTGCTTGACGAGATATCTCTGGCTGAAGACTCCGTTCTCGAGCGTTTGAACAGTGTCCTAGAGCCATCTCGGACAATCTTACTGGCAGAAAAGGGCTCTGTCGACAATCTCGTCGTCGCGCATCCAAGTTTTCAATTCCTAGCTACTATGAATCCGGGAGGGGACTACGGGAAAAGAGAGCTGTCGGCGGCACTCCGAAATCGGTTAACTGAGATCTGGGTGCCTTCCTTGTCACAAGAAGCAGACGTCTTGCCAATTATTCAGAATAAGCTGCGAATAAGGAGAGGTGACTTGGCCGAGAAGATGCTTAAGTTTGCTACCTGGTTTCGTAACGAGTTCCATAACACGACATCCAAAAGCATAGGGTTGCGAGATCTATTAGCATGGGCAGACTTTATCAACCATGCTGTGCCACTAGGGGAGGACTTTGCCTTTGTGCATGGTGCGTTCCTGGTCTACGTTGACTCCATCGGTGCAAACCCAGCCGGATTGACTTCGATGGGCGCAAGGGACTTGAATGAGTCAAGACAAGATTGCTTAAATCACTTACAAAATCTGGTGGGTCTTGATGTTTTTGAGATCTATAACAGAACTCCCGACCTCTCCTCTACCAGTGAACGCCTCTTTGTTGGTCAATTCTCCCTACCTCGAACAGAACATACGACACAGCAGACAACCGATCTCGTTTTCGACGCTCCCACTACATCAAAAAATACGATGAGGATCATCCGCGCTTTGCAGATGACAAGGCCGATTCTGTTGGAAGGCAGCCCCGGTGTGGGCAAGACAGCAATAGTGACGGCTCTTGCACAAGCTTGCGGAAGGGAATTTACCCGAATTAACTTGTCCGACCAGACGGACCTCATGGACTTGTTCGGGGCAGATGCTCCTTCCGAGAATGAGGGAGTAGGGAAGTTTTCATGGCAAGACGGTCCTCTGCTGAAAGCCATGCAATCCGGTGGATGGGTCCTCCTCGATGAAATGAACCTGGCATCGCAATCGGTTTTGGAAGGCCTGAATGCTTGCTTGGATCATCGTCGAGAAGTCTATATTGCGGAACTGGATAAATCGTTCGTCTGTCATCCAGATTTCACCTTGTTTGCCGCTCAAAACCCTCATCATCAAGGCGGAGGCCGTAAAGGGCTCCCGGCTTCCTTCGTCAACCGATTCACGGTCGTTTATGCAGATTCTTTTCAACGTGTGGATTTGGTCCGCATTTGCGCGTCCAGGTTCCCAGACGTTGATGCCGATCAACTCGAGAACGTGATCAATACAGTCACACAGCTTAATCGGGCCATTGCTCGAGGTCCAGCCTTTGCGCATGGAGGACCTTGGGAATTGAACCTCCGTGACGTGAGCCGATGGTTGCGACTGTGCAAAGATCAGCCGACACTTCCCTCGTCTTACCATCTTCGCAATATTGTGACAGGGCGCTTCCGCACCCCTACTCAAAGAAACCTGATCCTGAAGGGAGCCGAATCCAGCCTTACCTCCACAACTCCTGAAAGCTTTTATAACAATATAACTGAAACCTTTCTTCAAGTCGGCAACGCTTTTCTCTCTAGGGATTCGATCTTGCAAAGAACTGAAGCGCCGAATATAACTCCCTCCGTCCGACAACTTCCCGCATCGAATTCTATCATCATAGCTGTCAAACAAAATTGGCCTGTGATTCTGGCTGGACCTTCAGGTTCCGGAAAAACAACTCTCATACGGTATCTCGCGGCTGCGGCGGGAGTCGAGCTCGTCGAATTTTCGATGAACTCTGATGTGGACACTGTAGACCTCGTGGGAGGTTTCGACCAATACGACACCCGTCGCGATGTCAGCAAGATCCATACTAGAATACGAGAAGTGCTCCGACAACGAATCGCATCGTCCTTTACAAATAAGTCCGACGGAGCAGCGCAGGTCCAACTATTGAGGCTATGGCAACTCTTCGAGGGCGATGAGTTAGAGATCCCTGATCTTCGAGCAGCCATACCAAATTTATTAGCTATTTTGCCGGAACTTCGGGCACAAGTCGAAGTGTTTTCGACTATTCTCGATTCAGTCGATCAATCGAGTTTCCGGTTCGTATGGAACGATGGCATTCTCGTCGATGCTATCGAGAAGGGTTCATGGCTGTTGCTGGAAAATGCCAATTTGTGCAATCCATCCGTCCTGGACAGGCTGAATTCATTGCTCGAACCAGGTGGATCACTTGTGATCAGCGAGCAACATAGTGGGAGCACCAGTACGAGAATTATTGAACCACATCCAAATTTCAGGATATTCCTCACCATGGACCCGCGCTATGGAGAGCTTTCGAGGGCGATGAGAAATCGATCGCTTGAAATTTTTATGCCTGATGGACCCGGGAGTTTTGATGCGGCTCCCATTCGGTATCCGATTGCTTCTGCTCTCACTCGCTTGAGGCAATTGTCAGAGATGGCTGACCAAATTCCACAAGCGCACAGTATCGAAGCCGCGGCTGACAATCTCAATCTTAAAGACATGAGGATGATCTCAAATGCTGATTGCCCCTTGCCTGGTGCTGAAGCTGATCGCTTACTGCAGCTGGAGATCAGCAAGAGAAATTTCTTCGACGTGGAAAAGCTGTACCAAATGTTTGATTCTCTGGAGCTTTCTGCAAGCAACGGGTGTCCACAAATGCTCGTTCTTAATGAGCCACTGATCTTGCTTGGTGGATTTTCCAAGAGAGGGTTTCTGGAGACTCCATTCACGGAGCTATTTACCAGGTACTGGTACGTAGCACGGCGGATGGCAGGAATCACTTCACTCTTGAAGGACGCATCAACCCGAGCTGGAGCAGTTCTTGAACGATCAGCTTCTGCTGCAAAGAGAGCAGCATTCGATACAGTGCCGAACATTACGGCTTTCGGCAATCTTGTGATTTCCTCGATGTCTGAAATTCTTCAAAGAGAGATCAACGCAATGAGGAAGCTAGATTTGTTGGAAGGAGTAGAAAGAATTTTCATTTTTACTCAGGAGCTCCTCCTCCTCTGTGACGCGAAAACGATCGACATCGCTTATTTGCAGGCATACCTACGAGTCGGAGACGACCTGGTTCATTTTGTTCGGCGAAGCGTTCCCGAGATCGCTCCTCAACTATCACGGTGCCTGGAGACCTTGTCTGCTTACAAGGGTAGGCTGAACACTGGATTCGGTCTTCAACTTATGTGGCAAACCTTCCGGCCCAAGACAGCTGCCACATGGCAACAACTCAACTGTCAACTTGCATTGGAAAAGCTCATTGGTAGATTTGACCTTGCATGTCGCTCCTTGCAGCAACCTCGCAACTCACTCTCAAGTTTGAGGCTAAGATTGCAAAATGTGTATACGTCGATCGTCGAGTCAGGAGAGCCAGAGGCCTTGATGCCGGATCTTCACGAAGCCGTGGCGAGACTGCAGGAGCAATCAACGAAGGAGGTTTTTTTTGAGGGAAAGTTTCAACAAGTATTCAGGTTCATTCAACATGCGGTCAAATTGCAGAAGCGTGAGGCGGACGAGCCAGATCTAGAGAATCTGGCGATGTTTGTGCCTCAGCATGAAACACAATCCCTTGTTGTCGGACACGAAAACGCTGGGCTTAGCTCACTGGTCCGCCTCGCATTCCTTGATGCTGATATTTTGGTGGACGATGGCTCCATTGGGATGGAACTGATAAGGCAGCTGTCATCAATACAACAACAGCCTCTAGGCATACTGAACCATGCAAAAGAGGAGCTAGGAGAGCTAACGAAAGCATTGGCGTCCCATACCTGCTCACTCGAGGGCTCCATCTCCCAGGTTGCCGTTGATATTCGGTCGGTCCTAGGAGGTTTGATGTCTTCCTTCTATAATCTCTTGACGTGCGAGGCAAGGGCATGCTTTCCTGAAGGAGGAACACCAGATCTTTCTCAGTTATCTGCCATCCCGAGCAACGATGTCTTTCTACAGGGGCAAAGCCACGAACCTTTCAGAGATGTGTATGTCAGACTGATCCACCCTGTCCTACTGCAACTGCAAGACAAGGATAAATGGGGTCCTCAGCACCTGAAAACATGCCTTGTTAGCTTGTCCCTTGCCGGGCTGATACTTATGGTGCCTGACGAGCCCTTAGACCCCGCAATGTACCCGATCATTGCGCATCATCTCCACGAATGCCGAGTCGTTGAGTTGGAATCCAGAATTGAGGGGCAAAAGCAATTTCACCAGTGTGTGACGGGAACGGACACAGCTCTCGTCATTCGTATTCTTCAGCAACAGCTGCTCGAATTAGGTTCAGTCTCTCAGCCAACCGCAGTGATCAGACCCGGTAAAGAGGAATTCTTCAAGCTTCAAGAGATCTTCACGAGAATTGTTAGTGTTGTGCTTGATCACCGGGATGTTCAAGCGGTTCAAAGAGCGCGACCAGGCAGTGCAGAGTGGATCGAACAATGGTCTGACCAACAAGGAATGTCCAACTTGAGGGCTATTATTAAGCGGTTAGAAAGCTCTCATCGAGCGTTCGACGACTTTGTAAAGCCAATTCTATGGTTTTTGAAAGGCTTGTATCTTGGCTTGGAGCTTGGCATAAGAGAGAAGACCCAAGGCAGTGCACCTAGCGCGGTTCGTGAGCTTGTCATGAGCATCCCTCCCCTGGCAGTCACTCCTGGCGCTGTTCAAGATTGGAAACTCTTGAATGCCTCGTCTTCAGAGATCAAATCTCACTGGCTTGAGCTTGTTGGAGTGAGAACTGCTCTAACAGGGAAGCAAGATTGGATCCCCATCGAGGGCTTCCTTGACATTGTTGACAGCTTCTATTTCGAATGGAAAAGCCGTTTGACGCAAGACCGGGCTGATGCTGCGACGAGATCTCGCTACTACACTTACCGCGGGGACCCAGTCGAAGATGAAGAAGGCGAAAATCGAGAGCTGGATGAGATGTTTCCACTGTTCGAAGGCCTGGACGTGGCATCGGACAGGCACCGAAAGGAATTCGATGCTCGCGGGACGGCAGTACGACTCAGTATGCTGCATCAGACGATCTACACTGAACGGAATCCACAAGAAGCTATCGAAGCGTTCATTCTCTCTACATTAGAGTTACTACTGAAAGCTGGTCGTGATGGTGGTGGAGGCACCGGCACTTCCTTTACGGATCTCTTACCTGCCATCTTCTTGCAGATGGAGGCTAAAATGACCGAGTTCAGCGGCGATAAAAGTTCTCGCGGCTTCAACATATACACTGACTCAGACAACGAGCAGAGTCAGAAGCTGCTAGATCTAGTGCAAGAGATCCAATCGACATTCAACATCATTCAGGAAAAGTGGCCTGAGCATGCTGTTCCAGCGGAGGTCTTGTCATTCTGCACCGAAGTACTCAATCTGAGCCTCGGTGATCCTGTCGCCAAGCTTCTCACCAAGACAGAGAAGCTGTACGAGATTGTGTCGCAGTGGCAAAGTATTGCTAGCAGAGAGTGGTCCGTCAGCGCACTTGTCGAGCGGCTATCGTCATTGGTCATTAGCTGGAGACGTCTGGAGCTTTTGTCTTGGTCAAGGCTTCTGGATGAGGAAAAGCATAAACACGAAGAAGACGCACAAGCCTGGTACTTCATCGCATATGAGGCCATAATCTACAACTGCAGAAATCTAGACAGCACTGACGGAGGGAACCTCTCATACCAACGGGATCTGGTCCAAACACTGCAGGAGTTTCTCAAGTCGACGACATTAGGTCAATACTCTCCGCGCTTGCGACTGCTCGAGACGCTCAACAAGACTATGCAGTGCCTGGCAAATACCCGTCAGCACCTCAGAACAGCTGCCGCTTGTGTTCAAAATATCATTGCACATTATCGCCGATACGAGGTTAGCGTCGAGGCTGCGCTACGTGTCGGTCGGGTTGGGCTCGAGAAGGCTTTGAGTGAGCAGATCAAACTCGCAAGTTGGAAGGATGCAAACGTCACTGCACTCCGCGAAAGCGCACGCCGATCACACTACAAGTTGTTCAAAATAGTACGAAAATATCGCGTCCTGCTCAACCAGGCGGTTGTGTTCAATGCGCCAGAAGACTTAGCGCAGAACTCACGAGCAGATGCCGTGACAGACCTTTCGCAGCCTCACTACGACGATGCGCTAGTATCTGCTGCTCTGGGACGATGCCGCCTGCTGGTTGAAGATTGGCATATACGACCTGAGCGCCTTACTCAACCACTGGCCGCAGTTAAAAGCATGCAACATGTGTACAAGTCAAAGAATACTGGATTTCAAGCTCATTTGGAGATTGCGTCCTTCCGACAAGACTTAGTTGAAGCATCAAAACAGCTGAAAACCCAGACACCACCAGGACTGACTGAGGACAATGCTGGATTTGTCCGCCATCTCCAAGAAAGAAAGAGACGATTGCTCGCCGATACACTAAAAGCAGTTATACATATGGGAATCAGGAGGAATCTGCCAACTTCTGAACTTGAAAAGCAATCGTCATGCGCCAGTGTTCTAGCATTGGTGGCGGATTCGGCAGTGAACCAACTTCCGCGAACTGAGTCTGCTGCCAGCGCTATCTTCCACCAATTGCTTGACATAATGCCTCAAGTCCGCGCAGCTCGGACGGATCACTCGGACGACCTCACTGAAGGAGAAATCAATCGTTCTGTTGGGCTTTTAGAGGGCTTGCTGTTCTTGACAATCCGCCAAGAGCAAGCAAATCCTCAGCAGGCATTCGACATGAAAGCACTGAGTTCTCAGTTATCAATGCTCAGGTCCATCGTGTGTTCGTCCTCGGGCGCGATTGTGCGATCTCCTCTCTCCGCTAACAGCATCGGCGTTGCACAAGAGCGCCTTGCATGGTTGGCGGAGATCTTGAATCTTGCCTGTCGCATCTTAAGATTCCAAGCAGAACATGGAGGATTTGACATCAACGGGTGTTTGGACTCACTGCATTCTTATGCAAAGCAAATTGCAGACTTGAAACTAAGTATCCTTGATCTGCCCGAAGCACCGTCGGGAATGGCGTGGAGAACCTCACAAGATCTGCTGGACAAAGCCCCCGAACTTCTTTCCCGACTGAGGTTTGAACTGATGGATTGGCAGGTTAAGGAGCCTCGAGTCGAGTATCTCCTCCGCCAAATTGTGGCCTGGATCGAAACAATGTCACAACCAACGAGCGGGACGCAAATATATCAACAGAACTTCACTGTACGAGAACTGGATCAGAACCTCAAAGACGTTATAGACCAAGTTTTTGTGGTGCTGCAAAGACTGTCTGCCCTACAGATGGAGATGCCAAGCTCAGATGAAGACCAAGGTTGGCTTTCAAAGTCGGACAAGCACATCGTTGAGGCTCTGCGATCACTGCAGATGAGCACTATTACCAGACGACTTCAGGCTTCAGTGACACAGAAGCTTCAATATCTGGCGCCCGAGGATTTCGAAGCTGCGAAGACATTGTTACTTGTGGCAATGCCGATCCTCGATCAGTATTTCTACATATGTGAGCATCTTCATAAGCGTCACGCTGCCCTGTCCTTGGAGACGTCCCGACTTGCATTACAATTGGCCTGGTCTTTCACTGCTGTTGCAAAACAGGGTTTCTGTCGTCCTTCAGAGCCGGCCGATGGCCAAGAGCAGACAGGTAAGCTAGAGTCTGGAACTGGGTTGGGTGAAGGGGAAGGTGCAGAGGATATCAGTAAAGATGTCCAAGATGATGAAGATCTGTCTGAAATTGCACAGGAAGGGCAAAAGGAAGAGAGAGATGGAGAAATGGAGAAGACAGAAGATGCAGTTGACATGGACAATGAGGATCTTGAGGGCGAAATTGGTGACTCTGACGAGAGACTGTCAGATCAAGGCGATAACAAGGATCAGTCTGGCGACGAGGAGGAGAACGATGTCGAAGAAGAAACAGGCAGTGTTGATGATCTTGATGCCGATGTTGTGGACGAGAAACTGTGGGATGACATCAAGAACGAGTCGGAGAAAGACAAGGAGATGGAAAATGACAAGGTTAGGGGAAAGAAATCCGATGAGCAGACTGCAGGAGATGGGAACAAGGACGAAGGAAAAGAGATGGAAGAGATGGAAGGGCAGGAAGAAGATGCACCTGAAACCGGTGAAGACCGAGATGAAGGAGGGGAACGACCTGAAGGTCAACAGACGGATGCTGATGTGGATGAAGAGAAGGCCCTGGACCTTCCGGAGGAGCTACAGTTAGCCGGTGACGATGAGATTAAGAACGATGATATATCAGATGATGGTATGGATGAGTTGTCAGATACGGAAATTCCCAGAGAGGAAGCCGAAAGTGACGATTTTGAGAAGACTGAGGAGACCGAACAGCAAGAGAAACACTCCGACGAGAAAAGCGGTCAAGATGAGGTTGACGCAGAAGAGGCTCAAGTCGAGGACGCGGTTGCTCGAGATGACGAGATTATGGAGGATCAATCTGAAGAAGCCGAGGACGACAAGAAAGACGACCATCATACCCGGGAAGACGACACCGTCCACGATTTGAAAGAAACTGCTGGTGGAGAATCCGGAGCCGCGCACGAGACCCAGGACATTGTCGATGCTGGGCAGAACGTCGAGGGCATGAATAAAGCCGACAAAGAGTGTAATCCTCGGGAAACTCAAGCTGGCAGAGCTCTGGAAGACGAAGAGCAAGGAAAGACCGGTAAAGGGGCCCTTGAACGTGGCGCTGGACGGTCAGAAAGCCTCGAACATCAGCAGAACCAATCGTTGAAGCAGTTGGCAGACATCCTTGATCGATGGCATCAACGTCGCGAGATCTTGCCAGCTTCTGAAGAGCGAAACCCAGGCGATGAGGAAATGGATATTGACATGGCAGATGTTGATTTCGAGCATGTTCAAGAGGAAGACGCGGGCAATGCACTCGCTCTTGGTGCTGCAGCGGCAGATCAGGCTCAGAATATTGACCCAGGCAAAGCCATAGAAGATGAAGATGCGCCAATCGACAAGGACTCGCGACTTCCCGATGTCATGGAGCCGCAAGAGCAGGAAGATATTGCAGAGAGATTCAGTCGACTCAAGGCGCAGGCAAAGCCAACAGAGACCAGAGAGGCCGGAGCTTTCGTCCCTGACCATCAGTCCCAGCATAAGGAATTTGCCGGCCAGCACGATGCTGGCGACACCGCTTCGGATGACTTATCGCCTGATATCGAACAACTCGAGCTCAGCAGCGATCAAGCACAACCAGCTGTCCATCCTACAAGCGGTTCTAACGCTGCTCATCTTTGGCAGCAATGTTCGACCAGCACGCATGAATTCTCTCTCCTCCTCACCGAACAACTTCGCCTGATTCTCTCACCTACGACGGCCACAAAGCTCCGCGGCGACTATCGAACGGGCAAGCGACTCAACATCAGACGCATCATCCCGTATATCGCATCGAACTACAAAAGAGACAAGATATGGATGCGTCGTTCGGTGCCCAGTAAGCGGAACTATCAGATCATGATCGCCGTGGACGACAGCAAATCCATGAGCGAGTCCGGCGCCGACGTCCTCGCTTTTGAAACACTAGCGCTGCTCACCAAGTCTCTGGCCATGTTAGAGGTCGGGGAGATCTGCGTTATTGGATTTGGCGACTCCCCAGCCATCACGGTCGCGCATCCGTTCGGTCAACCCTTCTCGCCAGCCGAGTCAGGCCCAAACGTCTTCCGCTCATTCAGCTTCGAGCAGCGAGGAACGGACGTCAAGAGCTTGCTCAGACAGAGTATTCGCTTATTCCAGGACGCGAAAAATCAACGACAAGGCGGTGGACGAGGGGAAGAGCAGTGGCAGTTACAACTCATTGTGAGCGACGGGCACTGTTCGGACCACGACGGCATCGCGAGAATGGTCCGGCAGGCGCATGACCAGGAGCGCATCGTGATTGTCTTTGTCATTGTCGATGCCGGCGAGGAGAGCATCCTCGATCTCAAAGAGGCCATTTTCGAGCCCGACAACACTGCTAGTAGCTCTTCTGCATCAGGCAAAGAAGTGGGAGCAATAACGGAAATGAGGGTCCGTACAAAGAGGTACCTTGACGGCTTCCCCTTCCCGTATTACCTCATCGTCAGGGATGTTAGAGATCTGCCCAGCGTCCTGGCGACCGCGTTGAAAGGATGGTTTGGGAGTGTCGTTGATGTCCAGGGTTGATGGGTAGATTGATAGATAGGCATTCGATGTCTAGCCTACCTGCCTAACGGGCAGGTAGATTAATGGTTCAAGCACAGGCATTCATTCATGTCCATCTATGTAGTATCCTACACGAGTTGACAACTAGAATGGCGCCAGGACAACCGCCCCCTAATATACGTGAGAGACGAGTCACTAATCGCGTAATCCGTTCAATATGCACCGATATCATGACTACCTCGTAGCCCTCCCAACAATCACTGTTCTGCGCCAGATGTGGGAACATGAATTCAAACTCAAAATTCAAAGTCGTGTACGCCCTTGGACCGGCCAAATCTACAGTCTGTTTTCCTTGCCGCACCTCCTGTATAGGCGCAGCTCTAATACGAGGGGTCGGATCGTGACTCTGTCAAAATACTTGCCATTCTCTATCAGGGGCTGGAAACGAACTTTGGAGAGTTCCGCCACTGGCAGCCTCACTACATGTAGCCTGCAGGGGGCGAAGACACGGCTGGGGGCGCCCGAGGCCTCACCTCCCAGCGAAATGATACCGAGAAAGCCAAGTGTTTCTTCGAACCCTCTGATCCCTCTCCATTAGGTTCTCTATACTGAGTATTCAGACGGCGATGCTAATTAGATAAAACGAGGTCGACACGGCGTATACGAGGCACAACACATAAGGCTCAGGCGAAGTGAAGCACATAGGATGGATGGATTTGTCCCTCCCGTTTTCAGATCCATTTACTTTGGTCTCAAGGCTCGGAGCCAGGTATCTCTCTACCTTAAAAACTAGTCATGATTACCTAGGTACGTATGTTTTCGTTAACTCGTGTCCAAGTCATATCACGTCCCACATGAGATCCAGACAGAATATAAAACTCGTCCTCCAAATCGATCCTGAATATGAATGCTGGGACTCAATATCATGGCCGTATATTCCCAGGCTTCATCAAGTCCTGCTTTTCAGGAATATCGCCGGAAACACGCCTGCATCCCCGGCGTACACCCCAAACCACCACTCATCATTGATTTCCTCCACCTCGTGTACACTAGCATGTTTCGGGAACATCAGCTCGCCCTTGGCCGTATTGTCATCTTCAGGAGGGTAATAACTCCACCGGGCGATGTAAGCTTTACCCCAGCCGCCATCCGGAGGGAGCTGCACCCCTGAGCGTGGCAGAGTGGCGGCTCTAGCTCGAGTTTTGCGTCGCGTTCCGGCTTCGTCTTCTCGCCAGCTCCAGTCGCCTCGCACAGCGGAAAGGGTTGCTCTATCAACACGGTGCAGATTTTTCATCGCTAGTTTCCACGCCGCCATGTCTGCATCCGTCATTTGCACACCGCCAACAATATCACGAGTGATGATTCGACGTTCGTTGCCCTCGTCATCCCGTTCAAATGCCACAGCAATCATTCGGTGTCCGTCGGGACAGAGACGCCAGCCATCCGGTCCATCTTCATGCTTGATCTGGCCCGTCTCGACGAAGCGACCGTAGCAAGTGCTGCATATATCGTAATCACCTTTCAGGCCAGGATTTTCTGGAGAGGGAGTCGGGTGCGTAGGACAATGGTACCGGGTCTCTTGAGGCGAAATCGATCGAGAGCAGATGTCGCAATTAGTTTTAACATCCAATGGTAAAAAGTCGGGCCGGACACCAGGGTAAGGCCCAGCTGCGGAAGTAACGCTCGAGGCTGCGCTCTGAGCAGGGGAGACATCGCGCCCGCCAGCACTGTATGGGCTCAATGTGACAGCAGCCGGGCCTCCTCCTAATCGAGAGCTTGCGGCGTTCAAGTCGGAAGATTTGTAGGCCACTGGCAACAAGGGATGATCACAGCAATGGTTAGTATTCACACAATCGTTGCAAAACCCCCACTCGCCCTCATTGCAGTAGTCACACGACCAGAAGTAATCGTTCGCAAAACTACCACACCGATCACAGAAGTTTCCCTCTCTCAAGCGCGAGGATGCATCCGGAGTTGTACTATGTCGTCTGGAGGGCCTCTGATGTTGCCGACCAACCAACAAGTGAGGCAGTCCGACAGACTGATTGTTCCGATTTGGCGGATGGGAAGCATTGAATTTGAGCATGGCGGAGCGATAAAAGCCGAACCAGTGATTGCATCCCCGCCCGCTTCTGTAGCACCGCAGGCAAAGATCAACCTTGCAAGGAGCACAATGCTTGTGCACTTCGTACTGGATGTTCGGACGAGAACACCGCGAGCACGCAACATAGGGTTCCTCAGACCTGTTCGAGGCATTGCCAGCGGATAACTCCGTTGGTTCAGGAGCACGAGCTGCTGGGTCCAGAGTTGGAATTGAGGTAGGAACAGGACCGATCGCGACGCTCGACATGAGGGGCTGGGCAGAATCAGGCCTTGGAGACTGTTGAGCCGGCGAGGCAACTTGTGGCGGACTAGATATATTACGTCCACCAGCAGCTTGCCACACGTCAGAGGCTCTCGGAGAGGTCCGGGGCTCTGTGTTTGACCTGTGTGCATGTGGGAGTTGCTGGAGTTGCTGAATGCGAGCCGCACTACTCGCATTTGAGGAAGGCCTGTTGGAGAGATCCGTTGCCGACCTCGCTGCAGGATGAGGCGTTCGCTCTGTTCTCAGTACAGAAGTCTCGCTTCTTCGACTCTCATCAGAGGCTCGCCGTCGTTGAGCCGAAGTATGCGGCGGCGTCAATAACTGTTCAGCTGCTGACTGAGACGAAGCTGTTCGAGGTCGGGACTCGTTACCCCCGATGACCACATTATGACTCGATCGTGAACTTGGCTGCGTCCATTCGCGATTGTTATTCCTAGGTGACTGACGAGAACGACGAGCGGGTTCTTCAATTTGTGAAGCCGGCGGCCTCGTCGTATCCCCATGACTGTCATGCCTACTGTCATCTGAACCTGGTCGACGAAGTCTCTCCGGGTGCAATTGCCTGATACGTTCGGCGATGGTTTCACTAAGCGCGTCCTGCTCTTGTTCTGTCAATTCATCGATATTGATGCCGTCCAAAAGGCCTTCGGCCAGAATCTCTTGCATTAGCCGCGCCTCGTCCAAACTATCACCAGTGCCAGTGCCGCTTTCCGAAGCGCTCACAATGGATATCAGACTTGCTTGATGAGCCACAGTTCGGGCACCCCTTTGACGCGCCTCGACGGCCTCGGGATGCCTAGGTGAGCTGGGTGGAGGAGATAGTGAAGATAGATCCGCCGAATTGGAAGAGGCTGCTGTCCGCGGCCGAGGGGAGTTCGCGTCTGAAGCGGGCTGCTGTTCATGTATCTGGCGGCGGTCGGCATCTCTTTGTCTTTCTGCTGTCTCTCTTCGCTCCCGACTCCTGCTGCTTCCACTGGTGCCTCGTCTGGTATCAGCCGAAGCGGGGTCCAAGTGTTGGTCACGTCTGCTTCTCTCGCGGTGTCCGCCATCCCCATTCCTCGAATCTGCCGGCGCCGACTCCTCTTCTTCGCGCCTTCTTCTCTCCCGTCTCCTGTGATTTTCGACCTTTGGGAGAATCTCATCTCCTGGTTTATACGCCTGCGACATCTCGGCCTTCTCTTCTGGAGTCCTATCCTTGTCAGGGTTTGCGATCAAGAACATTTCCAACAAGGTATTGATCTTCGCATATGGCCGGGCATTTTTGACAGGGGCGCGACATGTTGGGCAAGTGTACGGGTTCGTGGACGATGGGGTACGTGAGTGGATCGCTTTGCGGTATTGGTGAGAGAACCATTCCTTCAGACAAGAGCCGCAGAAGGTGTGCAGGCAGTCGAGAAGGGTCAGCGGTTGGTAGAGGACTTCGGTACAAATGAAACAGACGAGCTCTTTCTCAAGGTTGAGAAGGCCTGTCGTGGGGTTTTCGGTGATGGCAGCCATAAGCTCTTCGAGGTCATGATACCATGCACGATCCGGCTTTTGGATGGATGTTGTGGGTTCAATCTCGGGCAGTTTGAGCGCCTAGCACCGTCATGATGAATACGTCGTATATAGTGGAATTTGGCGACTGCGAGGAAGGAAGGGAGCGAGAGAAAAGTTAGGAAAAAGGCGTCGGCGAGCTGAAAAAGATGGGCAGCAGCAGAAGTGACATGGGTGTGGTGGAGTGTCCTGAGTGTCACAGTTGTGTATTACTCCTCTTCGCTGATCCCGCGGCGCCCAGCCCAGACTCCCAAGCACCAAGAGAGGCGACCTTTGCACTTCGCCTGCCTAAAGCACGACGGCTATTTTTACTTTTTGTTACTATTAACTGGAGCAGTTCGTTTCGCTAGCTGAATCTGGCTCCTAGATGCGTCCATCGTCACAGCAGGCCTTGCTTCCCTCCGCCTTATTTTGAATCGGGCTGCAACGCCACCTCTAAGCGCATTGCTTTTAGATGTACTTCACCAGGCCAGGAGTAGAAGACCCAAAAAATATCATTTTTTTTTAACTAGGCTCCTTGAGTTTCAAGGTGAAGATAACAATAAATGCGTATCGGAGCTAAGCCGAACCCAACCCCAACTTCCAGTCTGCAGCAGGTCCCCGTTAGTCCCGACCATCAGAAACTTCTTCGCACCACACCCCATCTGTTCGTTTCAAGATATGCTGAGTCGGCCGTCCTCGCGTTAGAAGGGGAGGGATCGGAGACCCTATGTCCGCGGGTGTTGCATGGGTGCGATTGAATCATGCAGCCTCGTTCTTCGCAATCTCCCGAGTCTGCTGGCCAACCTCAGCATGGTCACTATCTCCACGCTCGCGGTGAACTGCGTAGCTCAGTCGCTTCTCGGTATCGACTTCGCCGGCCTCCTCCCTCCTGATCTTCTGGTAGTCGACGTGGGTGTTCCATGGTTTGACGTCGCTCAGGAAGATCTCCTCGACCTCTTCGAGCGTCTTGCCGGCCGTTTCAGGGAAACACAAGAAGACGTGGATTGTCATCACGGTGCAGAAGACGCCAAAGATGATGTAGACCTTCCACTGGATGTTGACGAAGGCCGGAGGAACGAAGTACGACAGCGCAAAGTTGAAGATCCAGTTGGCTGAGGTTGTAAGTGCCACTGCCTTG